TTTTTTTTTTTTTTTTTTTTTTTCCTCCCCTCTCTTCCTTCATTCAAGTTATATCCAGGATAGCAAGAAGATAACGCAAAGGATGTTTGAGTATCAAAAAAATCCCATAATTTTCTTTCAGTCTCTGCCTGCTTTCTGTTTCATCAGCACGTCTCTGAGGTTAAATCATTGTTCTGAGAATATTTCACTTAGGTGAAATTTTCAAGTCGAACCCTTGTTTCACCAGGTAATAATGGGCTGCATGAAACCAACCACTGTATCTACAATAGCAGGAATGAATTGAATTATTCCTTTTTGCCTTGAGCCATTGATGTAGGTACTGTAGCTGCTACCATAACTGGGTAACACAGAAGCTTAACATACAGTGATAATAGAAAAATGTCTAGCTGCCAGATGTTTTTATATTGTGTTGAGTAGTTTAATTTTTTTATAAACTTTTAAGAGCCCTGCAGGTGTTCTTGCACAGTAGGTGCAGTCAGGTAACACTGGGAAAATTTTATTTAGATCCCTGGAAATGGAAAATAGATGTGCGTTTTTTTTTCCCAGGTATTTTTCGCTTGACCAGCACTAAAACGGCTTCCAAGGTTTAGACAAGTAGCTTGTCAGTGCCAAGGCATATTAACATTTCATTGTCAGCCTGACTCATTTGAGAGAAAAAAAAAGAATAGATATCTTATTGCTGGTTTTATTTATCATCAATTATGAATTTACTAGCAATTTGCWTTTTCTTGTAGTGTTCTTAGTTATCCTTGATCTTCATGATGAGTAAAGGAGATGAGTCCAAACATTAGCCAAATCATATACTCTGTGATAAGGCAGTATGAGATTCAGATGATTATGTAAGGCCTCTATGTTCAAACTGTCCTATGGCAAAGAAAGCTGGCTTAGTTATAATAATACTTGTAATTTTCCACTTGATGCCTACATGATGTAGTGATGCAAAAATGGAATATTGAGACACACTGCGAGCTGCTTGAAAGCAATCAGAAGTTGGCAGAATATCAWGAAATCTACTATTTTGTTTTGATTTTCATGTTTTTATTCCTTCACTGTGTTTCTTTCCATCCTCCTCCTCCTAGCCTGCTTTCCTGTTTAAAGGAACTTGTCTGCTTCTGGGGGTGTCACTGATACACAAGTGACATCGCATAAGCTTCCTGCTAAGTCGGCATCCCGTCCTCCATCTACCATAAGGCGCATTCTGGCATTGCAGATGTAGGGTTCCCACTGGTTTCTCTGATGCCCCTGTGCCTGGTGGCTTGTGGCACCTGTCATGATGCTGGCAACTCTGGAGGGAGACTTCTGCCYGCCTTGAGGTGTGTCTGTGTGAGGGGGGAGGCCTAGACGCATCAATCCTCAGTATTTGTGTGCAGATCTCCAGCAGAAAGGTAATGCATCTGTTCTGCATTTTCATGTGCAGCGAAAAACCTTAAACTTGTTAGTAATATAGGAACTTGTAGGCTGTGCATGTAATTTTACTTGTGGGAGAAATAGAAATTGCCT